TAACTCCGCAGTAATTTGGTAACTTACGGTAATTTACCAGTAACTTACTATCAGTAAGTTTACATTTACAACCCTGCTTACAACGTAAATTACAGTATAATTTGCTGACAGTAAATTACATGTAACTTACACGAAATTTAACAACCCTAGTACAAACGTACTGTACTACTTTACCAAATACCTTTATATATGAGCATTCTACACGCACCTACGTACTGTATGTACGTACGTACGCATTTACGTACTTAAAATTAGATGATATGTCCCAAACTGTGGTTTTCTTAGCAAAATATACAATATTAGTTAAAACTATAAATTTCTAAAAGTCTCTATAAAACAATAGAAAAATATCATTGTACTCCCAATATAGATTTACCAGAAGTATATTATAGTTCTGAGTCAGTTGATTTTGAAGAGCTGATGAGTGATAATCCAGAAATAAATAAACTTATTAAAGAAAATGATGGCTTAAAATGGATACCTTACGAACAATTATCCGATATTGAATATCTTGCTCATGGAGGGTTTGGTGTGGTATTTAAAGCTAGATGGGATTCTTTAAATGTTGCCTTAAAGTGCTTAAATAATTCCAAAGATTTGACTGCTGATGTCTTACAAGAGATCACTCATTATCGACTGTTTGATCATAGTAGATATATTGTTTATGTTAATCAATGTTACGGAATTTCTCAAGATCCTGTAACGGGCAACTATCTAATGGTAATGTACTACTTTGAAGGTGGAAACTTAAGACAATATTTAAATGATAATCATAATCAATTATCTTTTGGAGATAAACTTGGGCTGTTATACACTATGGCAAATGGATTAAGCAACATTCATTCTCAAGGACTAATTCATAGAGACTTTCATCCGGGTAATATACTAAATAGATATAGCGAAGAATTGAGCTTTGAAAATCTAGTATCCAACAAAACAACACAAAGCATCGGTTGTTATATTACTGATTTGGGATTATGCAAGCCAATTGATGAAGCAAATGATGACAAAACAATTTATGGAGTACTGCCCTACGCTGCACCTGAAATTTTAAGAGGAAAGCTATACACACAAGCTTCTGATATTTATTCATTTGGAATAGTTGTGTACGAAATCTTTTCTGGATTGCCACCTTATTACAACATTCCTCATGATAACTCCTTGACCATAAATATATGTAATGGACTTCGTCCTAATTTAAATATTATTAACGTACCTCAGCTATTAAAAGAATTGATTATTAAGTGTTGGGATGACAACCCTTTAGTCCGTCCAACAGCTTCTGAGTTATTTGAACTTTTTAGTGGATGGTATCATGATCGGGATGATGAATTTTGTCGTCAATATAAACTTATAGAAGGCGCAGAAAAATAAACATCGGCAACATACCAAATACATCCGCAAGCCATTTATACGAGTCGACTACTTGATTTAAATTTAAAAGGAACTGATTATGTTTCCGAAACATTGAATGAACTTCACATTGAAGATAATTAATGTAGCGGCTAACATTACATAATAGCCTGAAAGTTTAAGAACATCTTAGTAAAATTAGGTGAAAGTTTTTGCAATAATAAGTAATATGAATAATTGCTTTCATTCAAATTAAATATATATTTATTTTGTTATTTTTATAAAATTACTTCATACCACCAGTGGTTTTCATCACCACATATAATTTTAGGGTTAGGGTGCAATTTTATAACTGAAGAGGGGTCAGCTAAAATGTTCAAATTTTAGGTTATGAGGTTTTCAGGGGTCCTAAACATTTTACTTAGTACATCTGACCCCAGTTTCTTAGATATTGCAAACTGGTGATGATCACCAGTGGTGATTAGTACTAAATCTCTTTTATAAATTTTTACCGAATTAACATTTATCAATTTATTTTATTTTCTTTATTTATTTCATTCCTCGTGTATTTGCTTCGTTCTATGTAATAAACATGCAGTCTTAGACTTTAGAGCTTTATCGTTAATGACTAACCTTTGTTATGTTAATAAAAATATATAAGTATATTAAGTTTCTGAGTGATTCTTCCTTTATGAATAAAGACCTCTGAGTGATTCTTCCTTTATGAATAAAGACCACTGAGTGATTTTTATTTATATCGTAACTCTTATTCGCATTGATTATAATTGAAGTATTATTCATTGTATTAATCTTGTGCGCATATTCACTCACCTATTGTTGTCTCTATCTTAATCCATATTACCCTCCTGAGAACTTGTATCTCTTATTTTTCTTCATTCGTATACATTATATTATCACATGCTCTATTTTATTTTACTTTCATGATCTAAACCCGGCTCCACCTCAAACCTACACTCTCTCGATTTGATAATAACACCGTATTTCTATTAAATTCATACATTACTTATCCCTACTCTTTTAATATAATTATCCTATATTTTAGTCTAGTATTTAATTATTCTTTTTATGGTTTGATTTTTTTGTTAGAGGTGGGGCAGAAATTAATATCAAAGATCAATAGTTAATGCAATGTATAAATATCCCTGATATTCTACCAGGAATCGGTAGAATTCGTCATTTGTTAATTAAAATGAGTGATCGTGTCTTTATATACTAACAACTCGAAAAATTATTGAATACTTGTTATACGACTACTTGTATTTTCATATACATTTAGTTGCTTTCTTGTTTCGTAATTGCAATCACCATAAATTCTTTTTGACACTAATAATGCTGTAAATTTATTGCACACATCCATTGATTATAGGACGAATAAAACGCAGTTATTTATTATCGTAACTAGCTACTCGAGCTTATAAAGAGATAGTTCGGGTTCAACATGCCCTTTCACATTTATTGCTTTCCGTAACGATTGGAACTATATAACGAAGTTTATTTCTCCAATATTTATTCCATTTCCACAGTTCAATTGGAATGATACAATTAAAGTTTATTTGGAGTATGAAATTAATGGAATTGGGCCAAGTTCCAATAGGTCCAATTCCAACTAAAAAGTTATTTCTATTCAATACAGTACAATACACTATATTTTTATATAATACAAGTATTAGTGAGCGCCGCTGGCGCCCTTTTTATTTTAGTCCACGTTATACGATAGTTTATTGGGGTGTATTCTATCGGTTGATTTCCAAACATAGTGCAGTTATTATAAAAAATTTTAGGATTTACATTTCATATTAAATTATTATAAAAGAAATATTTAACATTTTTAAATTCTATAAAGGCAAGAGTGACTTT